TACCTCATCACAAATGTGCATGGTGAATATTAGCACAAGAAAACCTGTAGATGGATAAGATCTTCGAGACTTAATGTGCAGCCACGTATTGTGCACATAATGTATGAAAGCAGGGTGCATAACCAAGGCAAGGAAAGTTTATTTATATAGCACATTTCATACACTGGTAATTCAAAGTGCTTTATATACAAGAAAATACAATAAAAATTAAAATTAAAACAAGGAATTTAAAAACTTTGAAAATTATTTAAAAATTGATTTAAGAGGTTTAAAATGAATTTAAAACCGTTAGGAATTGAAAATGATTATACATAAAATATAGTGCAATCAGTTCGGACTTAAGATATTATTGATCTTCTCAGAAAAGAAGGAAGCAAACTCATTGCATTTGCTGTCGGAGAGCATTTCACTGGCAATCTGACTTGGGGGGTTTGTCAGTCGCTCAACAGTAGCCAAAAAGAGTGCCTGTGCCAAGAAGAATCACTGTCTAGCTTTGCCTAGTTCCACATTGAAAGCACGAAAGCTGTCTTTATAGATGCTATAGTGGATTTCAAGTTTCGTCTTCCGCCACATCCGCTCACCTGAAAGAATGAGAAAACAATTATAAACCACTTTAAAAACTACAAAAGAAAACGATTATACATAAAATATAGTGCAATCAGTTCGGACATCGCACAGTGCTCATTCAATAAATGCACAGCTAAACAGATGAGTTTTGAGTCTGCATTTAAATGTGACTAATGTTTTAGCACATCTGATCTCTTCTGGAAGCTGATTCCAACTGCGGGCGGCATAATAACTAAAAGCGTACTCCCCTTGTTTTGTGTGAACCCTTGGTATTTCTAACTGACTCTATTCTAATGATCTGAGTGGTCTGTTAGGTTTATATTCAGTGAACATATCTGCTATGTATTTAGGTCCTAGGCCATTGAGTGATTTATAAACGAGTAAAAGTACTTTAAAATCAATCCTAAATATAACTGGAAGCCAGTGTAAGGACCTGAGGACTGGTGTAATATGCTCAGATTTTCTGGTTCTAGTCAGAATCCTTGCAGCAGCGTTCTGGATGAGCTGCAGCTGTCTAATGTCTTCTTGGGAAGGCCGGTGAGGAGGCCATTACAATAGTCCACCCTGCTGGGGATAAAGGCATGAACAAGTTTCTCTAAGTCTTGACTGGAAACAAAACATCTAATTCTTGCAATGTCTTTGAGATGATAGTATGCTGATTTAATTACTGCTTTGACATGACTACTGAAACTAAGGTCTGTCTCCAGAATCACACCAAGATTCCTGACTTGATTTTTAGTTGTTAGACCCCTAGAGTAAAGGTATGCATTCACCTTAAGAACTTCATCTTTGTTTCCAAATGCAATCACTTCAGTTTTTTCCTTGTTTAACTGAAGAAAGTTCTGGCACATCCAACTGTTAATTTTAACTGATATTGCGGTCGAATCTGTCTGACCTCTGCATAACTTGGGAATGTGCTAATCGCCTTCCTGATATTATTGATCTTCTCAGAAAAGAAAGAAGCAAACTCGTTGCATTTGCTGTCGGAGAGCATTTCACTGGCAATCTGACTTGGGGGGTTTGTCAGTCGCTCAACAGTAGCCAAAAAGAGTGCCTGTGCCAAGAAGAATCACTGTCTAGCTTTGCCTAGTTCCACATTGAAAGCACGAAAGCTGTCTTTATAGATGCTATAGTGGATTTCAAGTTTCGTCTTCCGCCACATCCGCTCACCTGAAAGAATGAGAAAACAATTATAAACCACTTTAAAAACTACAAAGGGGTCTAAAAGAGTCTGAGAAAATCTGGGACTCAGAACCTGATAATAAACACAAGTTTTAGGATTCTGACACCTTTTAAACAAAGAAATGTTAAGATGTAAAATGAAACATTTCTGCACAAGTGTTTACAGCATCAAGTATTATGGTGATGCTAAAAGATTCCCATTGAATGTATTGTGCAATTATCTCATGCCTAGTCTGTGTATCATAACATTGGTCTCCATAGCTATTAGGTCTCCTTGGTGAAGTTTGTAGAGACAAAGTGCACTTTCTTCTGCCCAATTATGTCAATTCAAAGGTCTTTAAATTAACTCTTTTATTGAAAGGTTTATTGTTAAAAAAAACAAAAAAACAAACTGGAGATACTGATCTTACTTTGTCCTTGTTGGCTTGTAGCTTGTCTATAACCTTAAACCATGTTCTGTTAAGTAATACAATAAGAGAAATTGGGTCAAAACAATTCAAGAAATCATTTACGATAAAATATATCTACACGTCATTCAAAATATGACTTACAAAACCAATGTCCCAATCACATTTCACCTCAAAATCAAAAAAGAAAAAGAAAGACATTTTGCTTATATATATATATATATATATATATATATATATAGTCACAATTTACACATCATGGCTTAATGACGTGTAAAGTCGTGGCCTAATGGTTAGAGAGTCGGACTTTGTAATTAGCTTCTTGACTATAAAGAGTCATGAAAATAAAAGTTTACCTGAACACAAAATCGTGGTTGTCTATAACAGGACCATAGTATGATCCTAAAAGGTTCCCAGAGTTCCCCACCACAGCACAGGTTCGACAGCGGGATGGGCCGGCATCTCTGTACCATTCCTCTCCAGGAATGACAGAAAACAGCTCCTTAATCACTTGGGAGTAACTAGCTTTGCTCCTTGTAGATTGTAGAGACTGTGAATAGATTAAAAACTCAGGAAAGTACACTTCTACCATCAGCATGAAACCAGAATCAAATAAAAATCAACATGAACATTTTATGTAAACTAACACTAATGACATTAAAGTAGCTAATTAGTTAAAATATGCATATTTACTACCATTCAAAAGTTTGAGGTCAGTAAGATTTTTTTGTTTTTGTCCAGAAAGAAATTAATTGTAGTGTACACATACACACATACATATCTACATTTCATATTTGAAATAAATACACATATCATTCTTCCTTGTTCTCCTATTACAGTCAAGAATTTAAAGAACTGACTTCTATTCAGTGTGAATATGAATGGAACTGGCCACACCAAAAATATTTAGATTAAAATGTACTGAAATTAAATTCAAAAGTGTCACGCAAGAATTCCCTTGACACAACACAATGGACCTTGTAAATACAATGGAACAGAACTTGTTTTTTGTTGTGCGTATATATATATATATATATATATATATATATATATAGTCACAATTTACACATCATGGCTTAATGACGTGTAAAGTCGTGGCCTAATGGTTAGAGAGTCGGACTTTGTAATTAGCTTCTTGACTATAAAGAGTCATGAAAATAAAAGTTTACCTGAACACAAAATCGTGGTTGTCTATAACAGGACCATAGTATGATCCTAAAAGGTTCCCAGAGTTCCCCACCACAGCACAGGTTCGACAGCGGGACGGGCCGGCATCTCTGTACCATTCCTCTCCAGGAATGACAGAAAACAGCTCCTTAATCACTTGGGAGTAACTAGCTTTGCTCCTTGTAGATTGTAGAGACTGTGAATAGATTAAAAACTCAGGAAAGTACACTTCTACCATCAGCATGAAACCAGAATCAAATAAAAATCAACATGAACATTTTATGTAAACTAACACTAATGACATTAAAGTAGCTAATTAGTTAAAATATGCATATTTACTACCATTCAAAAATTTGTGGTCAGTAAGATTTTTTGTTTTTGTCCAGAAAGAAATTAATTAGTGTACTGTAGTGTAGTGTACTAACTGTAGTATTATCTACATTTCATATTTCAAATAAATACACATATCATTCTTCCTTATTCTCCTATTACAGTCAAGAATTTAAAACTTCTATTCAGTGTGAATATGAATGGAACTCGCCACACCTAAACTATTTGGATTAAAATGAACTGAAATGAAATTCAAAAGTGTCACGCAAAAATTCCCTTGACGCAACACAATGGACACAATGGACCTTGTAAATACAATGGAACAGAACTTGTTTTTTGTTGTTTGGCTCCATTTTGAAGATGCCAGGGTGCTTCCACAATGAATCAGCACACTAGAATGATTTCTGATGAATCGTTTGACACTGAAGACTGAAGTAATGGCTCCATGAAAAAAAAGGATGTCTTAGACATAATTTGAAAGCATTCTCTATTAAATTCTGAATTGCACACAGTCCAGCTTACTGTACATTGAAGTGGGCCGAAATATCAAATGAGAAACACACACTAAGCCAATACCTGCCACCACTTAAAGATGTGGTCAGGGAGGACGCTGTTATTGAGAGAGAGCACTGGTGGGACATCTTTTCTGAAATGTTCAGCAAACAACTTGTCGTCACTCGTAGCCAAACAGCGCTCCATACAGGCACAGGGTTCTTCATGAAAGAGCCGCTCCACCACGCTATTGTTCACCAAATCTTTAAAATGTCCATAAGGAACTTTATGTATGGTCACAGTAAAGATGGTGGCACTTAACAAAACCAAGATGACCTTTACATATTTACACCAGCACATCTTGAATCCTGAGGGGCTTCTACAGTTCTACTCTCTGATGTTTATAGTGAGGTTGAGGTGATTCCAGGTGATTCCTCTAGCACCTTTCTGCACCTATCATCAGCTGCAAGAGCCTGAGCAATAAATGACAATAAATACATTTATTTATAGGAATAAAGGGTTAGAGGAAGAGTAATAGACTGACTTTTCATGCATGTTCTACATCAGCAGCACCATGCACATGCGTTGTTTACGTGCAGGAAAAGCACACGGATGAATGGAGGTGGGTTTGTTGTAATGACATGAGGGTGAGTAATTAATGACAGAATTTTCATTTTTGGGTGAACTATCCCTTAAAGTCTAGATGCGTATATATATATATATATATATATATATATATATATAGTCACAATTTACACATCATGGCTTAATGACGTGTAAAGTCGTGGCCTAATGGTTAGAGAGTCGGACTTTGTAATTAGCTTCTTGACTATAAAGAGTCATGAAAATAAAAGTTTACCTGAACACAAAATCGTGGTTGTCTATAACAGGACCATAGTATGATCCTAAAAGGTTCCCAGAGTTCCCCACCACAGCACAGGTTCGACAGCGGGACGGGCCGGCATCTCTGTACCATTCCTCTCCAGGAATGACAGAAAACAGCTCCTTAATCACTTGGGAGTAACTAGCTTTGCTCCTTGTAGATTGTAGAGACTGTGAATAGATTAAAAACTCAGGAAAGTACACTTCTACCATCAGCATGAAACCAGAATCAAATAAAAATCAACATGAACATTTTATGTAAACTAACACTAATGACATTAAAGGTAGCTAATTAGTTAAAATATGCATATTTACTACCATTCAAAAGTTTGAGGTCAGTAAGATTTTTTTGTTTTTGTCCAGAAAGAAATTAATTAGTGTACTGTAGTGTAGTGTACTAACTGTAGTATTATCTACATTTCATATTTCAAATAAATACACATATCATTCTTCCTTATTCTCCTATTACAGTCAAGAATTTAAAACTTCTATTCAGTGTGAATATGAATGGAACTCGCCACACCTAAACTATTTGGATTAAAATGAACTGAAATGAAATTCAAAAGTGTCACGCAAAAATTCCCTTGACGCAACACAATGGACACAATGGACCTTGTAAATACAATGGAACAGAACTTGTTTTTTGTTGTTTGGCTCCATTTTGAAGATGCCAGGGTGCTTCCACAATGAATCAGCACACTAGAATGATTTCTGATGAATCGTTTGACACTGAAGACTGAAGTAATGGCTCCATGAAAAAAAAGGATGTCTTAGACATAATTTGAAAGCATTCTCTATTAAATTCTGAATTGCACACAGTCCAGCTTACTGTACATTGAAGTGGGCCGAAATATCAAATGAGAAACACACACTAAGCCAATACCTGCCACCACTTAAAGATGTGGTCAGGGAGGACGCTGTTATTGAGAGAGAGCACTGGTGGGACATCTTTTCTGAAATGTTCAGCAAACAACTTGTCGTCACTCGCAGCCAAACAGCGCTCCATACAGGCACAGGGTTCTTCATGAAAGAGCCGCTCCACCACGCTATTGTTCACCAAATCTTTAAAATGTCCATAAGGAACTTTATGTATGGTCACAGTAAAGATGGTGGCACTTAACAAAACCAAGATGACCTTTACATATTTACACCAGCACATCTTGAATCCTGAGGGGCTTCTACAGTTCTACTCTCTGATGTTTATAGTGAGGTTGAGGTGATTCCAGGTGATTCCTCTAGCACCTTTCTGCACCTTATCATGAGATCAGCTGCAAGAGCCTGAGCAATAAATGACAATAAAGACATTTATTTATAGGAATAAAGGGTTAGAGGAAGAGTAGTAAACTGACTGTTCATGCATGTTCTACATCAGCAGCACCATGCACATGCGTTGTTTACGTGCAGGAAAAGCACACGGATGAATGGAGGTGGGTTTGTTGTAATGACATGAGGGTGAGTAATTAATGACAGAATTTTCATTTTTGGGTGAACTATCCCTTAAAGTCTAGAAGGGATACAGCTGCGGCTACTGGGCATGCGCACATCAATAGGCTATAGCATAATTTTTGTCACATTGTACATTTCGTAATGTTTTTGCAATATTGTAAGGGGAAGGTTTAGGGTTGGATTGATGTAGACGTTAATAAAACACAATCTAATAGGTAGAAATTTTAATTTATTGTTAGCTTCCAGTAGTAGCTGTATCTGTTGTATTCAGTGGGTTGATTTGTTTAAATTACATTTCAATTCACATGAATTTGTTGATTTACTGATGTTACAATAGAAAATGAGAAGGAACACAAAAACGACGAGTTCAACAAACTCATTGGCCCTGATATTAAAGGATTAGTTCACTTTCAAATTCAAATTTCCTGATAATTTACTCATCTTGGATGACATGGGGGTGAGTAATTTATCATAAAATTTGAATTTGAAAGTGAACTAATCCTTTAAGTAACATAGCTTACAATTATAACGTGATTGTGCCATACTGGTCTTTAGAAAGCAGAACCGGTTTTGATTTTTGAAACCCAGAAAAACGTAGGCTACTGATAAATTACAAAATGCATTGTGAACCTAATGTTATAATTAATAATGATACTTTTAAAGAAATAAAGGTAAATAGATTAACAAACAAACGATGAATTTATACTTGTTTTCAGTCGAGGCTGAACTAAGGTTTCATGATCACTGAGGTATCAGATAATTCATCCAATTACAACCCCGAACATCGTAAGCAACAGACATAAAAGAGGGACTAAATATCTCTAATAACTACACCTGAGAAATAAACAGTAAACAGTGACAAAAAGAAAACATTTACTCACATTTAGCGTTCAGCTTTGAATCCAGCGATGTGTGCTTATATGTGGATCTCGATCGTGAATGTCAGGAGGGTGTAGCACCTGGTTAGAGCAGATTCATCTTGTTATACAAACAACTCGCTTCTCATTAAAATTATTGATATCCACTGTGTGGACAAACTGAGTATTTTAATTCTCATCATCGTTTTAAGATAATTGACAAATACAAGTGATAGGCTCAAAGACCGCAATTCAATGCCTACTCCCGTTTTAAGCGATTAAACATTTCTTCCCCGTTTGGACTGTTTATTCTTACAGTGCCGCATAATGATAAATACAATAATAAAGTATTCTCCTATTTTATTTGATCTGATGTAGTAAGACAACTTTTCGGTTCCACCAAAACCTTTTAGGTTATTCATAAAAACCAGATGCTTTAAACCATTTCTAAGTCAATATACTGATATGAAGAACCTAATATAACTTTTTTTCATCTCGAAAGAATAACACAGTAACTGAAGACCATTACAGAACCAAAAAAAAAAAAAGTTTCATGATAAAAAGCAACAACAAAAAAATACTAATTTGCTGAACCTCTGAACCAAATAAATCTTTATTTTAGAAATGAGTCAATGTACATGAATGCTTAGTGTCTACATGCATTGTTCTAAATGCCCATCCTTGTGCTTACCTGTAAAGGTTGATGCTACATTACAGAACTCACTATGCAGACATGTAGTCACCTACAAAAGCAGATTCAAAGACCTAATCAATTCTTGTCAGCACCGTTTCTCTAATATCTCTTTAGGTTACATTTTTAAAATGCTTTATACCAAGAACCAGCAGCACTAGGTTGGATTTATGTAGGAGATTTTATTTTATTTATTTTTATGTACTTTTTTTTTTCCTATTGGTAACTGCATTTTGGCATTATCCGTGAAGGTATGAACAGGTAAAACCGGTACCACTAGTTGAGATGACAACCTATTTTCATTGAGGAGGCAGAAGCTTTCGGCACTCCGATACTTTGATGATTCAGATGTCAAGAAATACACTCTAGTTAAAGCAATTACTTGCTTGTGATGATTTATAGACCTCAATAAATACTGGCTTACTAGGAGATATATGAGGAACCTATCCTGACATTCTTATCATCTGGGTAAGTTTGATATTCTGGGGTAATTATTACATTGATTATTAGTAGTCAATTTGTAATTAAATTTAATCAGTGAAATCAATTTCGGAATCAATCTGAAACATTTGTAATATGGGCTACTAACAGACCGAATTTAACAACAGTTCTGACAACTGAGCAAGTCGGACTGAGAATTAGTGTTAAACTTTACTGAAATTAACTCTTCTTTTGGTAAAACAATGTTTTAAATCTCTTTGTTTTTATTTCAACATTATTTTATGTTTTCAATGTTTAATCGAATTGAAACAAGTGATAAAGGAACACTCTGACGCATTAATTATTCAATCATGACGAACAATGTATAAAATATTTATTTTTCACACCAAAACAATAATATAGTTCAATTACAATGACACATCATTTTTACATTTAAGTACAACTAAAGCGGAGTCGAAGTTACATTGTATTTTTTCTATTGCTTTTAATTGAATTATGGATCTAAAATCAAGTTTAAAATTTGAGAACTCATACAATCAAGCAGAAATGACAAGAAATTGAGGCAAGTTATAACCTATACATAGCCTGCATGATGTCGATATTTTTGCGGGGTGGTGGCTTCAGAACACAGAACTGTGTCTTTTGAAGATAAGAAATTATAAAGTATAACCATAAAACTGACGCGTTTTTCTGTCTTTCTAATAACATTTTATTTGTCCACCAGGAACACCACACGCGCAGAAGATGAACATCTTCAATAGACTGACGCCTCGCTACATCACCCTGCTTTTGAGCTTCATGACTATCTTTCTTTTGTTCACCCAAAACCCGATGAATAATACTGTAGACTCCTTTGATGACTCGATCTTTGAAGCTTCATGCTCCTGTAAATCTTGCGTCATGGGCTTTATGGACGATGACTGGTTCGTTTACCGATACGATCCCAGCATTCCACCTCTGCTGAACAGAAAAAACAGTGAGTTACGTCGAGACACCTACAGATGGTGGAGGGTAAGTCTTTGAATATTAAATGCTAAATATTCTGTCTTTAAGTAATCAAAGACTTCAGTGTCGAGTGTAGGCCTATGTAGAACTAGTTTATCTCTATATATACACCAGTGGTGGACGAAGTACACAAATCAAGTACTTGAGTAAAAGTACAGATCCGTATTATAAAATATTACTCCAGTAAAAGTAAAAGTACTCAGTTTTCAATTTTACTCAAGTGAAAGTACAAAAGTACTTGATTTTTTATGTACTTAAGTAAAAAGTACCGATAGATGAATGTTTATTTTTCAGTTTTATATAGGCTACTTTTATCATTTAATTTTATATTAGCATATCTTTTTTTATAATCCTACTGCTCCAAATACCTGGGATTTTCCCAAAATAACCAATAAGGAAATAATGAATATAATAAGGAAAATATAATTAGATTTTCATAATGATTTTTTTCTT